ACAAACCAGCTACATTTGCCTCTCGGACCCTATCGCAGACCGAAAGAAGTTACGCCCAAATTGACAAAGGCTTTGGCGGTCGTTTTTGGGTTGTGCGATCTCACCAATACCTATTCAGGCAGATTTGAAATACGGTCTGTGTGGCCATGCACGTGACTCATGTGTGTGAATAAATGTCCATGTTATCAAGCGAACCATTGACTTGGTCGTGTGTGTATTTCAAATCTGTGCCCCCATAGCTATTGGTAAAATACACACAGACCATAAACCACTACTGGGAATTCTGGGTGAATCAAAAGCGATACCCCAAATGGCATGGCCCCGGATGCTTCGCTGGGCTCTGCTACTCGCTGGATATCAGTATCAACGAAAATATCTTCCCGGGAAGGTGAATCATTGTGCCGATACTTTCAGCCGACTTCCATTACGGGAGGTTCCGAGCCACACGTTAGCTTTGAGAGAATTGGTGCAAGTAATATCTTGGTTGGATGATTCCCCGGTGACAACAACGTAAATAAAATGGGAAACAAGGAGTGACCCGGAACTGTCGAAGGTGCGTGATTATATCCTAACTGGTTGGCCGGACCGGGTAGATGGAAGTCTATCATTGCACACTTGGAGAGATGAATTAAGCCTTGAGGACGGTTGCGTACTTTGGGGCTCTCGAGTCATCGTCCCCAAACGGTATCGACAAACAAATCTCGGGAACTTCATATGGGTCACCAAGGAAATTCAGAGATGAAGGCACTAGCACTTAACTACATCTGGTGGCCGGGAGTCGCTCAAGAGATAGTACAACTCGTATAATTGTGTGCTGCATGTCAAGAAAATAAATCATCCCCACAACCCTTGCCAATGTCTCCATGACAATAGCTCTCGCGCCCGTGGGACAGAATACACATTGACTTCTGCGGACCCATTGACGGCTTCATGGTTCTGGTTGTGGTGGACGCCCATTCCAAATGTATCGAAGCTCGGGCAACCACATCCATGACTGGGTCGACCACTGTGCACATCTTAAGGAATATATTCGCTACATATGGTGCACCATATACGGTTGTTTCAGATAACGGACCGACATTTAGCAGCGATGAGTTCTCAGCATTGTTACGTCAAACTGGAATCAAGCATGTTCCCTCGGCACCATCTCTCCTTTCGTCCAATGGTCTGGAAGAGAGAGCAGTTGCGACAATCAAACACAGTGTGGCCAAACAACAGTCCAGAAGTTTATAAACCCGCCTGGACAAATTCCTATTGCAGTATCGCATTAGGCCAAACACTACCAAGGCTCATCTACTGTGTGAACTTCTGATAGGACGACGTCTGTGCACTCGGTTGGATCTGATTAAACACAATCTGCATCGAACGGTCGGTAAATGCTAGTCTCTGATGAAGCAACGCTATGACATTCATTCCGAACCGGCTATTCTCTCCATTTTTACTTCTGAATATTGCTGGAATGTGTTGATTCAAGTCGTCGGCACAAGAATCAAGTGGCTGTAATATCTAGACGGAGTAGTCGAGCAGGCGGTGCAAATGGTGTGGTGAAGCAATACGCGAGACTTGTCACATCTAAAACATTACACAGATTAATGAGAAATGCAACCTCAAGATCAGATGCACCTGTAATTTTCACCTCTGTATTGTCGTTGTCGTTTATTTCGTTTTTGAGCCTTTAGAGGTTTGTTCTCATAGCAATCAATGGTGCATAGTAGTGTCTAAAAAAAAGCGGCTGGATGTGCGGCAAAGTTCTGTCAAGCTTACAATGTTAACAGTTTTCCTTCTTCAGAATAGAGAGAAAATGGTTGAGATTGCAATGGATGAATCAAAAAACACTACGCTGAGTTGGGGGTAAGCATGGAGTGCGAAATCCACCGAACGAAATGAACATAGCACTTGAAACTAGAAGAGGCTATTTATTTTTATATTACTTGTAAGTAGCAGGATTTTGGTTGTAGCTTGTGAACTATCAGGATGAATACCTTGCAAAACTTACAACTACAGCCTGCTACTTACAAGTAATATAAAAAATAAATAGCCTTTGCTAGTTTCAAATACTATGGATATAGCGTCTGGTGAGAGAACGTCGTCAACTCGTAGGCTAGCCACTGTCAGTGACAGTGGAGATACATGGTGCTATATCCCGGCTAGTTTGCAAATTATGTAGCCCAGCCAACGTCCCCCATGGCTCAGTGGCTTAAGCTGCTGGCTAGGTGGCATCTGCCTCTAGCAGTCATGGGTTCGATCCTCATTAGGGGACCGAGGGAATGCGCACCACTGACGAACCCCAATAGGGCGAAACGCGCCTGGTGCTTTTCCGGACTAGGCTGTGCTATGTAGCTTGTGAACTATCGGGATGAATGCCTTACGAAAATACGGTTTTCTTACACTGCTCAATCTGCTTGATGATGACTATGGTTGTTTGCTTAACGAACTTGAGGAAGATATAGACAAAGAGGAATTCCTTGTCGAAAGAAGATTGCAATGTTTTTATCACTAGATCTTCTGTACTTTTGAACTTCATACAAAGCAATGCTTTTGAAATATGCTGCGCGTCTTTCCTGCTCGAACTATTAGCACAGTCAGCTGTGACAGCGCCTTCTCAAAACTCAGGTTTATAACGAACTGCATTCAATCATCAAACAGACACAGCTCACGGATTGGCAGTTCTCCTCATAGAGAGGGAATTGGCTAATGGACTGAATTTTGTTGGTGTTATCAATTATATTGCCTCAAGTAATGCACGGAAAACCTACCTGTAAATGTTGCTCACGAGTATTGTAACAATACAAAGACCTGAATTTACGGCAGTACTGTAAATTTGATCTTTGTTGTTTTATGAATCCAAATATGTAAGGTCTGTTCTCAAGTGTTTGGGTTTACGGATTTACAACTGCCAGGAGAGCGGCAGTTTTACGTCCTCCCCTGGCGACAACAGTAGTTGCTACGCCACTGACGCAAATCAGCACACCATGTTAAAGTCCATGCTAGTCGCAATGAGGTTTATTTTTCCGCTACGTCATTGTTGTACTGTGCTGTCTCAGAGACTTGTCTGCACTTACGAGAATAGTTTCCATTTTTGTGATATACTACAGTTTCTTGATGGTAACCAGGGCTTTTTGTCAAAAAGTTCACAATCCGTTCGACAGCTGTGCATCTGCAGAATTCGCTTCTCCTAGCTGTGGTGACTGCCTGCGTGTATGATACCCTGTATGCGATACCAGAGCTTCTAATTCTACCTGTTCGAAACTCATACCCTACAGTTCTCTACCGTCGAAGGTTGTTCTGAGCAAACAGAAATTACAAGCTGGGTCTACCACGTAGAACAAGTAAGTCAAGCAAGGTACGATATTCCCGATCTGGAGCAGACTCAAGGTCGGATTTCCAAATATGTAATTGGAATGCATAATATGCCACATGGGAAGAGGCGGTAAGATGGGTATTGTTGATTACCTGACAATCTTCTACTGATTACATTGTTCTGAGCTACCCAACTCATGTTAGGTTAGCAATAACACCTAGGTGAGATCATTCCTTGCAACCGGCAGAAAAGTATAACCGCCCGGAGTGTTGCGGAAATCTCTTTTCTGTTCGTGTGTGTCGCCCCTGGAACAACCTACCACATTCGATTTGCCTCGCAACAACACAACTCATGTTTAATTACGGTTGGATGACGCACTCAGGCACTTACATATCTTAGCAACTGCAATGGAAATCACGAGGCAATGATATGAAATATTCCCCAGGAGCAACCTCAGTCGAACAACGGCGTAACAAAGGGAATAGGCAAGTGAAACCTCGGTGAGGATGCCAGTGTGCAGTGCGCACTCATCCTGATTCCAATCGCTATATCCATCAAGCGCAGATCTTTCAACATTGCGCTCAGTGAGCATGCCGCACCCGAAACGCACCGCGGTCCACACGCTCTCAGCCAGCCTCTGGTGCCAATAGCCGAAATTCCATGCCAGCCGATCCTAGACAGGGGGATGTGTGAGCAACTTCATGTCATTAATCCCAACGGCTAATTCATTCGGACAAAGTGATGTGGGTGCTTAGCAGTATACGGGCAGCGCAGCTACGACGTGCGCGGACACACCGCGCAACGAAAGTTCACGTAGAAATGCAAATGCCTGAAAGGTTATATGCCAAGCACCATGATCACAAGTGACTACTAAGCGCAGATGCCACTACGTGCGTTTCACGAATATGCCCCCTTGCATTTTTATAGGTTTATTGTTGCCAATCAGGCCTGGACACGTGTGGCGAGCGCGCCTAGGCACCCACCAAATCACACGCGATCTGGGTCACACCCAAGCGTTCTCAGGTAATCCATGTGGTTAACTGGTCTGCTATGCTATTGGTTAATTTGGGATTGATCACACAACTAGTGGTGCGCGTTGGAGCGTTCATACCCGTAGGATGATATTTGTTTTCCTTAAGGATGGTGCTGAATGATGTAGGGATGAAAGCGACTTCTTTAAGTCTGTATTTGAAAGTGTTATGGGAGAAATTAACTGAGAAAAGGTATAATGCTATTGCGTTTGTGTGGAAGGCTGTCTGGCTGGAGTTGATTGCCACAAATATAATCTGACCTGGCTCACAAAAATAAGGCTAGTCGGCCTTTTGTTTCAAACTGATGGAATAATTGCCCCAAAAGGTACAGTTTTGTTAACCATCCAGATGCAATGTGCCCAATCTTATGGTGTCATTTACCACCAAAGTGACTAGAAATTTCCACTCTTCCGATTGGTGGAAGGCTTTTTTATACTCTTGCATTTTGTGATGGCACTCGCAACAGTCACTTGTAACTTGACCAGCCTCCGTAGTTGCCTTTGTGCGTCAGAGTTACGGGACTTGGTGGCAAGCCTTGTGTTTCATTGTTCCATATCTTTCTTTCGGCTATAAGTTGAATTTTTCGCATGCATGGCGGTTGGTTGCTCCTTTGTGATTTTCTTCGAAGCCATTTGACGCATTCAGTCACATTGTTTTGTTTATTTTAGGTGCTCCATACTTGATTATGGAATACGCTCCCTATGGAAACCTGCGCAGCTATCTGTGTGCTAACAAGTCCACATTCGAGCAGTCTGCTTCCATTGTCTGCTTACTTTTGAATTACGGTCGTCAGGTAGCCGAGGGTATGGAATTTCTTTCATCCAGATCGGTGAGTTTTTTTCCCCGACCAACACGTAAGTAGTGTTCAGTCATCTGGCCCACTATTTTTTGAACCCCTCATAATTCCTCCTAAGTATACTACGTCATTGCTTTTCTTTGCTTCCATTGAAGTATGGCGTTGGGATTCTTCTCTTAGTCTCCGGCCTGAATCCGTCTTCATTTCGTTTCTTTACTAATTCGAAACATTTCGCCAAACATGGATAAGAGAAATAACTAGTTCCCGAATAAACTTTTAGCCGAATAGCTAACACATACGTGTTGCACGACTTAATTCGGGAAAGAAATCTTTGCATATGTTCAAATGCGTAGTACAGATAGTGTGGATTTATAGCATGAAGGTGTCAATTCACACAATCAATACTACGCACTTAAAATATGCAGAGAAAAAGTTCCGGGCTTGGTTGGCTAATACTCCTTTTCGGAGCCCTCCTTAGACACATAAAACTTGTTCCAAACACATTTTATCCGGCCGGAAGATTCAGCGGAAGCTTCCACATAGTTGGCCTCCCCACCATTGTCGCTCATCTTGACCAGAATTTATCAACGGAATACCCAGCGACGGACAATTTAATCATCTAGGCACAGCTTGGAGTTTGGAACAGCTACCACGACGGCGTTAGCATACCCTGAAACTGTTCCATAGTAATTAGCAATGTATTTCTTTCCGTCTCACTTCGCACCATCTTCTATGTCATTGGCTCTTATTGACCACTTCGTTGCTACCTGGAGCTCTATGAATCAAGTGATGTCACTTTCTATCAACTTATAAATTCATATTTGACTTTGGCACACAATTCTGCTATTGGTATCCATCTGATGGCGTTCCAGATACAAGAATGCTAACCATTAAACCGTATCAAAGTTGTCATACTCCAGGTGCACCGGGCTGGCATTTTGGTCCGCGTTTTTACAACCAGAATTTCTGTGGGCTCCTTGATCAGGACTTTTTCAGAAGTGGTCGGTAGTGTTAGGTCAGTTGAAATCATTACTCCTTCCTAATCATCTAGTTTTGCCGCTCATTTGATCACTTTAGATGACTACCGCACTGCGCGGCACAGTAGGTTCACGTAGGCATAGCCCACAAAAGAGTAAAGGAACTCAAGGAATGGCCGCATCTGACAACTGATAACACTCAACACCGACCAGGCTATGGACATTAGCAAAGCCGATGCTATCAAGACGTCTGCTGATAAACATCTTTCGCTTACTGATGGCTTTGGAAGATAATTCAGTTACTTTGACTCGTGAGCTTCTTTTGTTTTTGCTGCCCAAGATGCTAACTCCTTGCCAATAAACCTCAACGGTGTAGTTGCTCCACCGAAGTTACACAAAGATACAGGCCCGTTTGATGTCTGGGATCCGGATTTGGGCCCTTAGTAAAAGATATACTAGTGCGACGCTGAAAATCGGTTCGATGGACCAAATTCTTTTTCATCTGTCCGTAACGCGTTCGTTGCGAAACGGTCTCATCGTCTATGCGAAGCGAAAGTATAACTACTGCTGCATCAACTCACTGCTTTCAATTTTGCATGCGAACCGGACGGAGTAAGTTGAGCGGTAAATCGCTGTTCGTGGGTGATTTAGTCAATGTTGACCTCGATAACACACTGCCATTCGATACGAAATCACTACCAGGAGCCCAATCACCGTGCAAATTCGAATCTATTGGTGAAGCATTATGGCAAACGCACCGAGATAATGAACGGATATCTTGGCGTCAGTGTTTCGGTACTCTTGTCACACCGTTGTAGCAATCAAATCACTACTGATGTAGTGATGGAAGTAAACTGTTTTCGTGACAACCCACAGCGCATCCTGAGCATCCCACTGGTACTTATTATCAAACGGATGCACAGAACCTTTTACTAACTTGGCTTTGGGTGCAAGCTTGTTGCTGTCCTTATATGCATACATTAGGCGCTCAGCCACATGAAAGCAAATTGTCCGTTAAGAGCGTTAGATGACAATAAAAACTGCATCAACAGTACTCCGGTACGCCGTACCGACACTTCGCTGACACGTAATCACCACCAGTCGCGCGTAGACTAATCGTTCTGCGAGGATCACTTGGTTCCCTATGCAGGCTGGAACCCGTGAACTCCGGGTTGCAAGGCAGTCACTTCGAATTGTGCATGAGCTTGATTGCGTCGCAACGCAAGACAAAACCCTGGGCACCGTCATGTATTAAAAAAGGAGAGAATTGATATTGCAACTGAGGCATTTATGTGCCTTCAAACTATGGCTGGGACGTTGTTCGGAAATCTTATGCCTGGAGCTGTATACATCCTTGTAGGAATGCTGATTACGCTGATGCCTATTGTTTGATGGACCAATCTAAAACGTGTCTTGAAATCGAGAAATTTTGAACTAGTAAGAGTAGTTAAAATTTCAAAACTGACCGGTTTTGGAAGGAGGTTGATCTAACTTCATCCATCCTACCTTGTAACACCGGAGACGGGATTCCCACATAACACAACTGACGAAAAATCGTGGACTTTGGACGACTGCAACTGCCACTTGACAAGAGCGCAGTCGTCGAAAACGCAAACTTTTGCAAAAAGGTGTGGACTAGAAATTTTGCGATTTTGACAAACTAACCAGATGCAGAACAGGTTCCCAACAGTCCGCGTACAGCATGTGCTGCCAATGCCAGAGCGTCTTTTTAATGTTGTGTGTTGCTGGCCTGCGTAATGGTGCTCTGGTGACCAAAGACAGGTGCTGCTGCGCTACTGCCAGCAAATCAAACGGTAACGGGCCAACAACAAGCCATAGTAACTCCCCGAAGGAAAAGGAAGACCTTGGAACCGCGGGTGTATGCGCGCGAAGAATGGACACGGAATCACTGTGCGTCACGTAATCTCCAACAGAAATGTGGTTGTTTCGTTGGTCGGAACTGATGCATCAGGCTCATGTTGTTTGTGACAATAAATAACTCTGCTCGCATCTTGGGTTACTTACAGTATGAAGCACATTTGATTTTGTTTCTATAACGTGGGCGTCAAAGCGTCTTTAACGAAACGGAAGATCCGTAGGCAAACAGTGAGACGCACACAATAAGGTAATAACGAACATTTTTTGAAACATCGTTTTGAAAAAGACTACTTTATTACAAGGGGCTGGCGGAATCCGTCTAATTTAAACGATGTTTCCTCTGGTTAGCACGAAAGACTGTACTCTGCATCGCCTTGTTTGTTTTCAGTTCACCTAGTCTTCACGCAAGATATAATTGGATGCAGCTAGCCGAAACTAGCTAGAATCGATCGATGCCAGTTTGTATGCATCCTCATTCGCTAGTCAACTCCTACTTTGTTTGACATCACAACGGGTTTGGATGGCTGACATACTACCTCAGTAACACCTGGTGGATTGAGCACGGGTCGTAGTTCACTTCCAACCACATACTTATTAGCCTTTTATCCTTAAACTTAACTCACGCATTTGTGGGGTATAGATAATCAAGCCCATACGCGGTGCAGCAAGCTCGGTTCTTGTTTTTTCCTCTTGGTGGACAGTACTACCACATTTGGTTGCGAACCAATTGGGGATCCTGATTTACTCAATACACGTTCGCCTTTCGATATCCCAAATCGTTTGCTTCTGCATAGTCTTCCCTACCAGAGGAATTCTTCACATGCCTACTGACAGGTTATTTCGCCATGTATTGTTTACTGTTGATTCAAAGTGTCAGTTGAAGCTCTAGGATGATTAGTCGATGACGAAGAAAAGGAGTATGAAAATATGATCCTGAATCTTGCGCAAGTAAGTTCTTTCGGTGTTCCTTGAGGGGAGGCTAAGGATAAGCCCAGTGGCATTGTTACCTACGGTCTCTTGCTTCTGATTTTTAATCTTATTGCTCAACATTACAAGCTCCCATTCTATTTTTGGCCTTTTCGTCTGGATTCATGTCAACAAATAATTTACCTTCCTCTCGCTTCACTTGTTTGCGGTAAGTCGCGGCATCCGATCCACCTCACTCGTGTACTCTATCCATAGTAGTTTTTATAGATGAACTGAAAGTTCCTCATTGCTTTGCTATCGCCGGTCAATCCTACCTTCTGATTGGCCACCCGCGATAGGGCCTTACTTGGTGATGCCTGGTTCATGTCGAGGTTGAATATCCGTGACCTAGAGTTGTTGATCCCGATGGGTTTGAGCCTCAACGGATCCAAATTGATCACCAGCGGGCGTGCTTTGGGGCATTTGCAAAACATTGGTATTAACTTAAACAATTTTTAAACCGTTTTCGGCCCAATTGGTCCATACTAGAAGCAACTTTACTTGTGCTCCAATCGAATTCCTCTGTCATTCATTCATGTTAACCCGTCAAATGTCAGCACTGCCTGCTGATCTACTACCCGATGCACCCACTCCACTTATCAACCGGCTGTCATCATGTCCTGAATACACGTTGTTAACTTCGTCCACGAACTCGTTAGGTGTTGGTCGTGAAATGGGCACTCGCCACCGCCTAGCATGGTACATGCTTGAAGTCTAACTAATGGTGGACGGTCCGACCCATTGTCTGATACGCATTAGATACTGTTGGCTTCGAGAATTCGTGCATGCTCCGTGTAAGTGCCACTGGATGTGCCTAGCCAAGAAAAAGGAGCAAAACTCGATGTAGCGGAACCGGAAAACATGGTCTATGATGATAAGTTCAAATGTACAAAATGACGTACCACTAATCTTGTAAATATAGTCTGAATGTTGCCTAGCAGTGAGCTAAAGCAGTCCCGATTTTTACTCCGGGTCAGCGCGTCGACGGTGAAGTGGGCGACAATGATTCATAAAGACGGTATCTTCGTTAACCACGGTAGTGTGGATAAACAAAAGTCGTGTTCGTTATTTGTAACCTGGGTGGTTGTGCGAAAATGAACATTAAATGTGGAAGTTGGAAATAAAAACCCAAGTTGACTACCTCTGTCCTGGCAACATCTCTAAGTTGACCGTTTTATCTTTCATTTTTTCTTTATCTTTCATTGCTTAAAT